TTTTTGAGCCACTGTCACCCAGGCAGGGGTGCAGTGGTGCCATCATAGCTCACCTCAGCTTGGAACTCCTGGGCTCAGTCTGAGCCCTCCTAAATGATCCTCTCACCTCAGCTCCCGAGTAGCTGGGACTGCAGGCGCGTGCCACCACACCTGGCTTTAAAAAAAGCCAGCTATTTTTTGTAGAGGCGGGGGTTTTGAAATGTTGCCCAGGCTGGTCTCAAACTTCTGAACTCAAGTAATCCGCCCGCTTCGGCCTCCCAAAGTGCTAGGATTACAGGCGCGAGCCGCTGCGCCGCCAGGCCGAGAAGAATCTTACCATTTCCCATTTTCCTTCCTCCTGTTTAAATGCTCACATCCTATCGTGACTTTCCTCACCACGTGCTCTCCAGGACAAGGTCGGCTTTCCTTTGCAATTTGCACGAGGCCCTAGCTGGGGCCCTCCCAGTCCTCCCAGTACCCATTAGGGCTTGACAAACGCTCCTAAGGGAAAACGCCTCAGGTGCTTCACAAAAGCCCCCTGGGGCCTGGGCAGGAAAGACCGCCTGGGGCACTTCAACTCACTGCAAGAGCTGGTTCCAGTGTCCCCTGACCTCACTGTTCAGTCCCCGCCAAGCCCCAGCCAAGTGAAAAATACGAGCTACTGTAAAGCGTCCTGGCTGTGGATGGGGTCGGACCCGGCTCCATCCCTCGCTCTCTGCGTGACCTTGGTCTCGGCCTCCTCCCCTGTCACATGAGGACACCAGCCGGGAGGTGAGGACCCAGGGGTCGAGGACGCGAGCAGGGAGCCCGTTCTGGCTCGGAACACAGTCTGGCGGGTCCATTCTGACACTTGAGCCCCATTTGCCATGTCCCGCCCTCGCCTCTCGTGCCCGTGCCCTACGCGGCCCTCCACTCCCTCAATAATCCCGCCGCACCCATTAGGCGGGAAAGGGCCTGCCCGGTGGGGAGGGCGCTGACGGTCACGCGAACACCGCAGATGACAGACTGCGCGGTCATTTAGCAAATTTGCAAAAGAAAACAGGGGATCATTGGGCAAGGGAGGGTTAGCCATGGCCGACCCAGACCAGTCTCCACCCAAGGTCACGGTGCCCGCCCGACGGGCAGCGAGCGGCAGGGAGTCTCCCCGAGGCCCCGCCCCGAGAGGGCGCCCAGCCTCCCTGGGCCTTGAGTCAGGGTGCGTTGCCTTTAAGACGTTTGGGAAAGTCACCGCGTCCGTGGGCGGGGAACGAGGCGCGGCGCGTTTTGTCCCTCGCGGG